TCAGACACCGCAAACGAGTTATGTGATTGCCGACTTTCACAGTCGACATAAGTATTTTCACACGTAGAATCTAGTTTTCACGTCAGGGAGTCGACATATTTCGCTATTTCGATTTTATACGGAAAATTGATGGTTTTTCGGGATTGAAATTACTTATTATTGTTTCATAAAAAAGAAATGCACCCAAAATGACTATAGCATATTGATTCTTACATATTTGCACTCACGAAATTGGTTGGTAAATTCAACGAGTGGGTGCATCGACCTGGTATAGGTATCAAGTTTCTGCAATTTTTTACGGCAAATCAGTAGATTTTCGGGATGTAAATTGCTCAATTTCAATTCATGAATGAATAAAGCAACGACATGGTTGAACTTCTTTGGAATTGAGTGGGTGACGTACGACAGGCCTCAGCACGTGCTGTTGTTGCATGGAAATACGTTTAAAATAACAAATTCAAGACATTATTCTGTCTTTCTTTTCCTTTCTGTTCTGATATTTATTTTCCTATCCTTTGTTCTCTGAGGAAATTTTTGATAAAATAATCATGAATCCAGCCTCAATTGATGACGTATTGCAGGACGTGTTGTCTGGCGATACACTTAATTTGTTTTTTGACATTTTGCGTCGTAAGACGAACTTCCGACCTGTCAATGTAAATTTAATGGGTTTGTGGGATTTCATACGCCCGGCTCAATTGAAGAACGGCAAATATATTCCAATTTTGAGTAGCAGGCCCACCGGGAATATAAATGAAATTTCCCTCTCGGTAACTTTTTATTATTTTAACAACACTGTAAAAAAGGGGAATCTATATTAAAACTTAGTATTTAAGGAAGCGCAATTAAAATGTCAGTAATTTTTTTTCAGAAAAGTAAAAAAAAAGTTGCTGAAGATGGTTAATCACCTTCTTGTGGTGTTGGATGTTTCTAATGAGTGGCAACCGTCCATTTCAAGATACAGTCTATCTCTTGTCCCGTCATTATTATATTCTACAAATTAATTGTGGAGTGAAAATGTATTAGTGTCTTCTATGAAATCTTCATAATAAAGTGATACAAAATTCGCAACTACTACAAAATCGGCTCGGGAAGCAAGCCGAATGTCACTTAGCGAGTAACCGGGGGTCCAGGGGCGCAGTCCCCCGGCTAGGCGCGCCCAGAACGGTTAGTTGTTTTCATTAATATTAACTTCGAAGGATTCAGACTTTCAGCGATTCTACCTTTTTCTATTCCACTCGAGAGGTTGCCAGATTGTGCGATAAATGTGAATATTTTATATGGATTTGAATGGGCCTGTTGCAAACTTTTGCTAGAGCAGAATGAAGAGTTATTTCCCATGGATAATGCCTCAAAAATCACGATGAGCGCATCGGCAAAGTCTGAAATGCACTCATAAATTCACAATCTGCGTAAGAAATTTGCGTTATTTTGAGCTTCCCGCTTCAAAAACGATACTACTGCACAGGTGAATATTTTGTTAGAGGAGTCGCTCCATCGTCGGCAATATTCATCATGGCCGAAGCTTGCGCAGTTCCTCGCGTAATTCGAGGAGAGTTCAGGGTCAATTAAGGCGGGCGAGGAAAATATGAACGTAAACACGCCGATTGTTATATGGTTTAATCCTGTTCAGGTGTTATCTCGTCCCATCACACGTGTTTTGGTGGACTGGCGTCGGCCATGATGAGAATTATCGCCAATGGAACGAACCCTCTAACAAAATGTTCACCTGTGCCGTAGTATCGTTTTCGAAGCGGGAAGCTCAAAAAACCGCAAATTTCTTACGCAGATTGTGAAGTTATAAGTGCATTTCAGACTTTGCCGATGCGCTCATCGTGATTTTTGAGGCATTACCTGCAGGAAACAACTCTTAGTTTTGCTCTAGCAAAAGTTTGCAACAGGCCCATTGGGAAAAGTGCTAAAAAAGCAACTTATCCGTCCACAATAGAGTCCGGGAGGGACGAGAGGCTGCCTTCCTGGGAAAAACCCATGATTTAGCCGGAAATGTCATTAAAACAATTGATTCCGTTTGAAGCATTAATTGTATACTAGGGAAAGGCTATTTCAAAATAATGATTGTAAATGGACACAGATGCTACAGAAAAAGAGAAAGAAAAGGGAAAGGAAATGAAATGAGGATATAATTACCTACTAATATGCGATAAGAGAGAATAAAACATAATCATCAGAGAAATTTATATGCGATGAAAGTATAAGAAAAAAAACACGAGTGGGCTCATTGCGATTCGGAACTCGAACTATACTATCGTTGAGCAGATTTTAGACCCCTACGTCACCGATAATCTTCTTAAGACGTAAAGATGAACTTTTGCTACTTCAGCAAGTCAAATCGCGGAAGGAGATCCATGGAGTGTCTTTTTCCGCCATCCAATGGGATGGCGTCCCAGTCAAATGCGTTTTTGAAGAAATAATCGATCCCACATCATCGCTTCATCTCCACACATCTATTCATGTGCAAATGATGGCACGCTCGTGCAACAAGGTTCTGTGACGAAATCATTTTTGCCTTCAGAGTCTCCAAAATGTATTCATCTTAGTGATCAAATGACCAATCACTGAGAAGAATGGCTCGCGGAGCGAGCCGAATGTCACTCGCGTAGCGAGTGATCGGGGATCCAGGGGGCGCAGCCCCTTGGCTGGCCGTGACGGACGCGCTAAGCGCGTCCAGAACGGCTACTATATACAGGGTGTACCAAAAGTCCGTCCCACCCCTGCTAACTTTTGAACGAATTGAGCTAGGGTAATGAAACTTTGGGAATGTTCCTATCTCAAAGGGAACCATCTTTTGGGGGGGTCAAAATTTTGGTCCCCCCTCAGGGGGGGCGCGGGGAGCCCCCAACTTTTTTTTTTCAAATGGCAACCCCTATCTTGTGATACATCATTCGAAAGAGCATAAAAAACTAAGAATTTTGGCGCAAACCGCAGATCAATATCTTAATTTTTGACCGAGTTATGATAGGTCAAAGGTCAAATTTGACCTATTTTCAAAAAATCATAACTCCGGTTCAAATTATCGTAAAGAAAAAAATAAAACGGGAAAATTTACCAAATTGTGTCCGCTTTTAAGTAAAAATTGCAGAAATCACTTCGCTGTAATTTTAAGGGGGGGCTCGGACCCCCAAATACGTCAATTCAAAGGTCATTCAATTTTCCCGCGAAAAAAGGCAATTTCCCCTAGATTTGCCTCCACATTATCTCAGTAAGGTCAAAATTAGTTCAACATTACGTTGGCAAGTCCCCAAATTTCGGGAAAAGTTAAAAAAAAACGAAATTTAAACGGTCAAATTTAATCACCTTAAATTTCGTTTTTTTTAAACTTTTCCCGAAATTTGGGGACTTGCCAACGTAATGTTGAACTAATTTTGACCTTACTGAGATAATGTGGAGGCAAATCTAGGGGAAATTGCCTTTTTTCGCGGGAAAATTGAATGACCTTTGAATTGACGTATTTGGGGGTCCGAGCCCCCCCTTAAAATTACAGCGAAGTGATTTCTGCAATTTTTACTTAAAAGCGGACACAATTTGGTAAATTTTCCCGTTTTATTTTTTTCTTTACGATAATTTGAACCGGAGTTATGATTTTTTGAAAATAGGTCAAATTTGACCTTTGACCTATCATAACTCGGTCAAAAATTAAGATATTGATCTGCGGTTTGCGCCAAAATTCTTAGTTTTTTATGCTCTTTCGAATGATGTATCACAAGATAGGGGTTGCCATTTGAAAAAAAAAAGTTGGGGGCCCCCCGCGCCCCCCTGAGGGGAAACCAAAATTTTGACCCCCCCAAAAGATGGTTCCCTTTGAGATAGGAACATTCCCAAAGTTTCATTACCCTAGCTCAATTCGTTCAAAAGTTAGCAGGGGTGGGACGGACTTTTGGTACACCCTGTATATATGAGTGGAAGGATTCCACCTTTTTCTATTTCACTCGAGGGGAAGTGTCTCTTCCCCGAATCTCTTCACCACCCACCTTTTATTCGAGTCGGTAGGGTTGCCAGATTTTGCAATGAATGTGAATTTTTTACATGGGTTTGAACTGGGAAAGTGCTGGAAAAGCACCTTTTCTGGCATCAATAGTGTTTGGGAGGGACGGGACCTTCCCGGGAAAACCCTCGATTTAACCGGAAACGTCATTAAAAAAATTTGTTCTGTTTGAAGCATCAAATGTATTCTAGGGAAAGCCACTTTAAAATAATTATTGTAAATGGACACAGACGATACAAAAAAGGAAAAAATGAAAGGGATTATTTTCTCTCAAGTCGGGACTGAAGTTTCATACTTAAAGGTCCTTTTTTACCGATTCAAGGATTTTCTTTTGGAAACAATTTAGTTCGAATCAAGATGAAAAGTATTTTTGGCGGCAAATATAAAAATCATCATGCTTAAGCCAAGAATTTTCCTCCAGAGTTGACTATTAACTGATTTTTTTTTTCTTCCTTTCTCTTTTTTCGATGATATGCTTTAAGATGCTATGCTATGTAACGCTCAGTTTATATTGTATACCCACATCACTTTGCACAATTTGCAAGTTTGACATGCTTACTGAGAGAAATAAATAATATGAGGCAAAGGAAATTTTATAAAGACAAATGTTCCTCAGATGAAAAGGAAACACGAGCCCAGCAACGAGACCCCAAAAAATCAATAAAAAATAAAGAGATGATAAATTCACAAGAAGCAAAATGGAGTTCGGCCCCTGCCGAAATTTCGAGCATAGCCTCATTCACCAGACAAGGCGCGCTAATGAAGAAAGGTTAAAAATAAAAACTAGCAAATCGGCGTTGAATATATTTAATATATTAGAATGTATCCGTCACAAAACGTGTTGGCGAAGATGGATGCTGGCTCCACGCCTACGGCCCCTGATTGGAGGGCGGGCCTCCAAGGGGGCAGGGATGGGTCCTCCGAGGGCTCCGTGCCAAAATGACGCTCTTCCTGGCCCCAGGGCTTCGTCTGCCTCTCCCTTCAGTTGTGTCTTAGAATCACGCATGACGCGTGAAAATTCATCGAGATTTTTTCAACTGTTAGTTCCTTGTCTTTATTTTCTGGTGTGAGGTGTTTAGTGCGTCGATTGGATACTTGATCTCACTTCAATACATTTTTTTGCGGATTTGGAAGAGCGGTAAGATATGTTTACCTTAAAAGTTTAATATCAATGGTAAAACTGCAGACATGCGTATCGTGGTTTAAGACGTTGCAGACTTCCTGTCATACTGTATTTTATTTATGTATGGCTAACGAACAATACCGCCTAGCTGCAAACTGACGATTTGGCAGAACGAAGAGGAAAATCCGCCATTTTCGTAATTTTAAGGTTGGATTTGCAATTTTTTCATACATCCCAGCGTCATTGAGACACTCCTCTACAGAATTGGATAAATCTAAAATCACTTGCTTGCATATTTTATACTGAAGAATGCGGCGAAGTCATTAACTCACTTTTGTGAAAATTTTCAATAAGGCGAAATTTTTCGTTAGCCCTCGATATGAGAAAACTACTGAACGTCAGTTCTTGAAAATTGTAGTTACTTTTTTCTTCTTCTCATAAAGAATATTCTGTGAACAAATTCAAGCCATGATGTTTCTTTGGTCTCCTTTTAAGAAATAAAATAGGAGCGGAAATTTCAAAACACCGCAACCGAGAAACGTATTTTTGCAGTTTCTCCGTTGATATGCTCTTCAAGTGACATGGATGAAAAATTATAAAAAAAACGTTAATTTAAAAAAAAAAAAAAAAAAAAAAAAAAAAAAAAAAAAAAAAAAAAAAGAACAGAACTGCGAAACCAACTGGCCAGAACTGGCTTCCAATCCAAACGATCTATGCATACATTTAAATGCTTCCATGTTTATGGTTACTTCGGGTTACTTTCAGTTACTTTTTTCTGGCCAGATCAACCAAAAGTGTTAAGTGTGGGAAACAAGGAACAAGTGAATTACGTTGAGGACGCCATGATGTCTGTATATTGAATGTCCTGCCGAACCGACAACTGCCCCGGCGGCTGGGCTCACAAGCAGCGTTGCCAGGTCTGACCCTGACAAAAAGGACTTGGTCGGGCGGGAGATGAAGAAAGTGTCCCGAGCGGGATGATTTTTGACATTAGTAAACAAAGCAATAGACGAAAAGACAAAGGAAGTATGGAGCGATCCTATTGGTTGAAGAGGGTTTCTCTCAAATACTAAGGGAGGAAATAATTGCCTAACTTTAGGGTCTCCCGTGCTTTGCCGTTAGCTAGTCCCCTACCTCCTTTTTCCATTGCAACATCCTGCTTCCAACAATAGGATCCCTCCATATTTTTTGTGTCTTCTTCGTCTATGGCTTTTTCTATAAATTTCAATAATCAGCCTGCTACTTAACTTAAGCTCTCTAGTTTTCTCGATGTAACTCAGAGGTTGCGGCTTGCGAGTGGCTAGCGCATTGGATGATCCTTTCAACGAGATTGCAAATTTCCAGCATGAAGACTTCGTCAAAGTAACCCAAAGAATAACTGACCAAAAAACATTAACCGCACGTTTAGGTTACTTTGTGCTCTACTTCTCAGAAGAAAAAAAATGTCGGTTACTTTTTTTTAACGTGTAATATAGGTACACTGTTAAAACTTTTGGAATGAAATTTTGCATCGGAGCGGTACCTATCTTTTTTCCTCAAATAATGACTTACCTACAACCTATAACACTATTTTGGAGCGGAATCTTCTCTTTTTGCGGAGTGTCATACACTTTTATGGCGCTAATTTCACTTTCCATTTATGCCACTCGGGGTATTTGGGCGTTCTATGGACTTCGACACCGTATTTCACTCTTCAATTTTTAACATTGCACAGTAACTTTGCTTTGCTGCTATTCCATACGATGTTATTGATACCAGCAGACCAGCACGTTGTTTATTTACTAACGCGGAAAATGTTGTTCCGGCAATAGGCATGTCATCCACCAAAATATTGTGATTTTGAGGTTATGTTGTTGTTGTTTTTGTTGTTGACAATAAAAAGTCCATCTGATGAGAAAAAGCATCTGAATTTGGGGCATCTCAATATTTCGATGGCCAAAAGTACGCACGCCTTACGACGCAGTCTTGCGACGTCGCAGACATCCTGTCATACTTTCGTTTTTTTTTTTAGGAAACCCAGATTATCAGAATATACCGTAGAAATTGCAAGCTATGTACCTGAATTATTTCTTTTCAAAAAAATAAATGCTTCTAAAAGACTAGAGTACCTTTATTGATTTTCACGTTTATAAACAAATGGCGTTGATTTGTAAAGTCAACGAGTGAATATCCGTATTGACCTGGTATCGAATTTCGGCGATTTTTTATGACAAACCGGTGAATTTTTGGGATGTAGATTGCTCACTCTCAATTCACTAACGAAAAGAGCATCGGACATCGCTGAACTTCTTTGCATGGAAAGATGCTGAAAATAACAAAATCAAGACACAATTAATGCATTTGCATTTATATCGAGTCAATTCTTTTCAGTTATATGACATGAATGTCACATGAATTTGATAGATTTACATAATTTTCAACGTATGAAATATGGCAGTTTGATTAAAATCAGCTTGGTTTGGCATACAATATAACCTCACAATGCGTCTTTTTTTTTTTTAGAGAGAGAGAGATTTCGTTCGTGTTGAGACACCGTCTCTGTCCAATCGAATTAGCAGCCTGGGCCCAGGCCTTACTCTCTTGTCAAAAGGATACGAATGGTTGCGCAATTCACCACTCACTGCACTCTTATCTTTCTCCAAGCCTAATTCATGAGTTCACATTGGGAACTCTACGTTTTGAATGGATTCCCCATACAAAATCTAGCTCAGTTATTGTTAGCTTGATTACTAACATCCACGTCTTCTTCATCTTCTTTTGTTACCTTGGTCACTAATATTGAAACGTCATCTTGTCTCCTTAGGTTAACTTGATGACTAACATACATATACTATAGGTATCTTCACTTGCATAATTTTCCTCACTTTGAATTGAGATTTCGGGTATATATTATCTAAGTCCCCTAGTAATAAAATGATGTTATCACGATATATTAGAGGTATCAAAATTCCTGGATGATGTCAAAATTTTGCATCCTCAACATATTCTGAAGAACATATTTTTGTCCACTTCTTTAAGATATAAAATGATATCTTATAGATGATTTTCAGTTAGGTACATGGTCTGTAACCGCCAAGATGTACCCAAGAACGTATTTTTGTCCACTCCTTTGAGAAAAAATTCATCAGATCTTCGCCGGACATCGAATGAAATCTTCGTAAGATTTTGAATGAAATTTTTGAAAGATTTCATGATGACGCACTCTCAGAATATCCGGAGGATATACAAATTCCCTGATTAATCTCGGAACTTCGTCCAGATTCCGATCAAATCCTTCCAGATTCTCTATGGGCATCCCAGAGTTTACTTCAGTTTACTCCGCTTAAATTAAGCCAGCAGATTCATGTACTGCAAGCACGCACCAATAAGAAGTTCCTTAGTAGATAAGGTAATTGGTGGATTTACTTAAGATTTAGTCATAACCTGAGCTTACCGTTACCCTAGGTCCTACAAAAAGGCCTCATTTAAGGAGAGTCACCGTTCAGATACCCCAGTTTACTATGCTAGTCGCAATTTTATATATTTGAAAATTGCTTTCTCTGATTTAAGCTGTGCAAATTCCTTAAAAAAAGTCATGATGAGGTCCAAAATTATTAACTTATACAGTTTGTCCCAAAAGTCTGTACCCCCCTCGGTAACTTTTGAACGGTTAGAGATAGAAAAACGAAACTTCGGGAATGTTTCTATCTTAAAGGAGACCATCTCTTAGGGGGGTCAATATGTTTGTCCCTCCCTCGGGGGGGGGGGGGGGGGGGGGGGCCNGGGGGAAGTGGGGCCCCAACTTTTATTTTTTTCAAATGGTAACCCCTATCTTGTGGTACATCATTGGAAAGAACATTGAAAACTGAAAATTTTGGCGCAAACCGCAGATCAATATCTAAATTTTTGACCGAGTTAGGATAGGTCAAAGGTCGAATTTGACCTGATCAAAAAATCATAACTCCGGCTCAAATTATCGTAGAGAAAAAAATAAAACTGGAAAATCTACCAAATGGACCACTAGACAAGGTACGAATTTAAGCATTCTGATACATGTTGCTTGACCAGAATTTTACGTAGAACACGATTCGCGCAACGAAAATTACCGACATCAACTCCTAACAAAGATATTAACGTTTTCATTTCACATTGGTTACGAGGAATTCGAACTGCCCGCTCATAAGAAACTCAAAGCTCTACGTGAGTCAAATCGTGCACTGCAACGGTTTCAGCAAGCTTCTCAATCGAGCAATGTTCACTTTCCACCATGTGTTGTTCAAACTATAAACAACTTGCTATACCTAGCTGAGCCAAAGCGTCAAGATTGAGGTTGCCAGATTTTTATATCGCAGAGACTGTCATGATGACGTTTAGCGCGCGATGTGAGTCACGTAGAGCATTGAGTTTTCATGAGCGCACGGAGAAAAGAGATTGGTGGCCGCAACCATGGAAAAGGGCTATGTTTACCAACCCGCCTATTTCGTTTCCGTCATAGCTACACTCCTGTTTTATCCGAACAAAGCGGGTCGGTAAGTATGGCTAACGGTGTCACGGGCGGGCGGGTTGCCTCCTCCGACTACGCGGGTAGGTAAATCTTGCCAAGGATTAACGTTTTACTCATTACCCGTATTGTCATGTAAGAATATACGCCTGGTAGGCTTTATTGAACGCCTAGTTTATAGAATTAATCTAAAGTAGAAAAGAAGCGGCAAATTATTATTACATCTCTGTCAGAAGGCGTTCATAAAGTTTACAATTAGAACAGTGATATGGTGGTCCTCTCAATTTATCGTCTTAGGTGAGTAATTAAACTCTGCAGTTTGATGCATGACTACAATTTTCAGTGTATATTTTCAGCAGTAATCTAGAGTCGGGAAGGAAATCATCCGATTTCCTTCACCCGTCCAATGAAATCATCCGGTTTCCTTGACTTTTCCAGGGAAATTATTTGAATTTCTTGGAAAAGTGAAGGAGATCAGCTCATTTCCTTGAGCAAAGCCGAGGAACGTTTTTACTTACGATTTTATTTATGTGCC